ATGACCTAGTTTGTGTCAAGTAGACGTTAACACCCCCTCTCTCTCTCTCTCTCTCTCACTCTCTCTCGTTTTGCGTGGAGGTCAGCAATGGGAGGAACCCGAGGACCCTACTCCCATTGTAAAGTAAAGCTGTAGGTCGAAACCCCGCCACCCACCCAACCTCCAGGGCAAACCAGATAGCGCTGAAGGAACACAAAAACAGAACAGAGTGTGTCAGTGTCGTCCAGTAATAAATCTATGTCGAAGCAGTGAATCAATTTCTTTATTTAAGTATTAGAAGATACCCCATATCTTGATTGTGATCACTGTTGAAATTGATATAAGAGCATTGTTAATCACAATTTGCATATGTGTATTCTGGCAGCGTTTAAGGCACCCGGGGTTTTCAAATCAGGTTTGTTCAAATTAACACAGGATTTTGTTTTTGTTGGGTTTTTTTTCAATCTGATTAAAATACAGATCTATATTTCGTTTTGTTTTTTTTATATACTTTCGATGACCCACACTACATAAAAATCTGACCAGTTGTCGTAAAAGGTCGCGTCAGATCCTCCGACATTGATTAATCAATCAGCGTTGACGTTTCTAGTGGTTTACCCACAGTTCCGTACATGGCACGCCAAGAAGTCGCCGTAACAGATGGTTTCATTGGCTAATCCCTCACGCTATCTAGAACGCAGGTTACATAACAACTCTTCCAGATCCTAGTGTAGTAGACAAATAAAACGAAATTTGAAATGTAAAAATCGAAACGAAATAGAATCTGTGTTTTAATCAGATTGTTTGAAATGAATCTTTCCTTTATGACAGTTTGAATTCGATATAAGAGTAGGCCGTAGTGCCGCTGTCCGGTCATAATTTCGCTTATAGCACACTGTAAGGCGTATGCCCGTCTTCATTAGCCCAGTTCGGAGCAGAATAGTGGGACGTTAAATAAAATAAAACCAAAAACGAACAACCCAAACCATTAGACAAAATTCGAAGTCCTAAAAAAACGGTATAGGCAAAATAGTGTAATAAGGCAAAATAGTGTAATCAGCATATGGACTGTTCACCGTGTACAAAATACACGACAAACAGTGGTAACAGGTGTCCGGAAGAGTAAGCGTACCCTGCCTGGCGCCACACCCGACATAGCTGCTGCATTCAAACTATTAGGCGAAATCTCGGTAAATCCTATTTCATTTCATTTATCTTCTGTCAGCTTTTGTATCACAAGTAATTATATGTTTCTTATATTAAAGTCGCAATGCAAACTTCAATATTGTGAAAGATGAATCTGTGGCAGGAAATAATGATACAATACTGTTCAGTATCAACCTGATTAAAACACAGATCCTATTTCGTTTCGTTTTTTATAGTTCAAAATTTCATTTTACTTGTCTTTACTACACTAGGATCTTGAAGAGTTATTATATTACCGGCGCTTTGGTTGAAGTGAGGGATTAGCCAATGAAACGGTCTGTTATGGCGACTTCTTGGCATGTCATGCACGGAACTGTGGCTAAACCACTAGAAACGTCAACGGTGATTGATTAATCAATGTCGGACGTCATAGGCTCAAAATAGGATATCTATGCGTACAACCCCTGACACGACCTGCGAGTACAACTTATCAGATCTTCATGTAGTGGAGGCCATCGAAATTATAAAAAATGAAACGAAATATAGATCTGTATTTGAATCAGATTTGTTCATCAGTATTTACAAAGATATGTGTAATAGGCCCATCGCCATTTTGTTGTCCACGTCAAGTTTACCGCGATTGACCCGTTTTAAATCCGATGGACTCCAAGCCAGAACATTATCTGGTATTTTGATGGTGTTTTCTTAATTAAATAATCAATCAAGCATCGTTACTGTATTTATATTATTTTTTTTTTAATCTTAATTTTATAATGACAACTTGGTGTAATGCATCAGTTAAACTAATTACCCTGCTTTCTTAGAGGTTTCAATTTGTACAAGAAATATTACATAAGATTGTTTTTTCGACGGGAGGACTTGGGGAATTTACAAAATCAATACTCGTCAAATGCTTGGATTATCTTTTAACTTATGAGTCGACACAGCTAATAATTCTTTTGTCATTCGATTTGAATAATAAACGAAAGACAGCAATTAAGAAAAGTGGGGTGGACCTAAACTGTTTTACAATGACAAATTTATATATATTTTATCAATTTTTACTTATTGCCCTGCTATGTTTTTTAGAATATAATCGATTGTAATTGAGATGCATTTTAAAGACTAACGCTTTATAGAACTTTGAAATATGAATATCTTAAAATCTTTGATTGCTATATTAGTGTTTGTATGACTCAACTTGTAATAACCCGCCTTGTACTCTTTGTGAAACTTTTGCGATGTTTACACGATACGACCAACCCATACAATGGTCGCATCCGACCAATGGACAGCTTGTTGTATGGATAGGACCAGCTCTATTCTCATCCGACGGACTGGTGCAATGATCAATCAAATTGCGTTATATTAGACAACGTCATACAGTGTATCTGACTTGGCAACCAGAATTCTTGATTAAAAATGTCTTCTTCTGTACTTTGACGTCCTCCAAAATGGATCTAAACCTATCAGAGACTAAATTAGAATATCTAATAACTCTGTATTGGAGTTTGTAGAACAGTCGGCATCAAAACCACACGAAGACGGGGGTCAGAAGTGTCGCCTTACTTCCATTTTATTCAGTTACTAAGACGGAACTATGGAAGCCTATAACTACCATTCATAATTTCTACTTTTCGCCTCTTCAGAACACGAAAGTCGAAAAGTTGAAAAGTAGAAGTTACGACAAAATGTGAGGCGACAAGAGGTATACAAGCCAAAATCAACTCGAAAATAGGAAATTAAGAAATAACACACCGTGATAATAGCGCCCCCCCCCCCCCCCCCCCCCCCCCCGTTTTTTCTTAATTTCTACTTTTTGACTTGCATTTTGACTTGCATTTTGGCTTGTATACCGTCTTGTCAACTTTCGACTTAGTCATATTTTTGTATTTATTGATGTCAGTAAGAAGGCGCCAACACGCTATACAAGCCAAAATGTAACTCGAAAAGTAGAAATTAGGAAATTAACACACTGCACTATTAGCGACCTATGATCTGTCGTACTGTCGACTTTTCTACTTTTCGCCTAGGAAGTTGTTGTAGTCTCTGCCTTCCAGGTCACATTTGAATACGCGCAATTCCCGTTAACAAAAATGTCTGTATGCGCGTATTCAAATGTGACCTGGAAGGCAGAGACTACAACAACTTCCTAGGCGAAAAGTAGAAAAGTCGAAAAGTCGACAGTACGACAGATCATAGGTCGCTTATAGCACAGTTTGTTAATAGTTAAGTTGTTGTAGTCTCTGCCTTCCAGGTCACATTTGAATACGTGCAATTCCCTTTAACAAAAATGTCTGTATGCGCGTATTCAAATGTGACCTGGAAGGCAGAGACTACAACAACTTCCTAGGCGAAAAGTAGAAAAGTCGACAGTACGACAGATCATAGGTCGCTAATAGCGCAGTGTGTTAATTTCCTAATTTCTACTTTTCGAGTTACATTTTGGCTTGTATAGCGTGTTGGCGCTTTCTTACTGACATCAATAAATACAAAAATATGACTAATTCGAAAGTCGATAAGACGGTATACTAGCCAAAATGCAAGTCGAAAAGTAGAAATTAAGAAAAAACGGGGGACGCTATTATCGCGGTGTGTTATTTCTTAATTTCCTATTTTCGAGTTGATTTTGGCTTGTATACCGTCTTGTCGCCTCACATTTTGTCATAACTTCTACTTTTCAACTTTCGTGTTCTGAAGAGGCGAAAAGTAGAAATTATGAATGGTAGTTATAGGCTTCCATACAGAACATATGTTACTCATACAACGAATAGAGCCAGTGTGTTGCGCAAACAGTCGTCCAATATGCTGCATCCGATGGTTGTATGGATTGGTTGTATCGTGTAAATGCCACTTAACTGTACATTGATTTAGAACTTACGGGTTGACTGGTGAATGGTTAGCACGTGCGCGCTGTATCATAAGGTACAGTGTCATTGAGTTAACTTTCGATTCCCCGGGTGTACGTGACAATGAGTGACGTCGCCTGTCCAACCTTGTGGGTTTTTTCCGGGTCCTCCGGTTTCCTCCTACTGCTAAAGACCCCTACGCGCAAGTGATTTATTGAAATAAAATTGAACCATATGTTAGTCGCGAAATGACATAGTTTGTGTCTATTCACTGTGACAATCGTTTTACACATTCTAAATTTTAACATATTTATTTAAAATTCCTTAATTATTATGGAAAAGACATGAAATATTGGATATGGGAGAGAGATATGGGTTTTAACGTCCACACGACACAAACCAGGTCATTTCGGGACTAACATATGGTTCAACCTTATTTCAATTACTCGCTTGTATAATTTCTAACCATTTTCTATACATACTAAACATTAGTTTAGAATTATGCTTACATCACACATGTATAACATTTAATGACAAAATTTGTCATTATCAAAGGGTCCAGGTTCACAAGTCATCGGTAACAACTTACCAGCTTAGACAATATAAATGAAATGAAATGGGGTTTAACATCCTACTGGGCTGAAGAAAACAGGCATACACCATTCATTGTGCCATGAGGGGAATTTTGCCCAGGCAGCGCAACTATGGCCTACTCTTATTTCGAATTCCAACTGCCAAGGGATCTTTTACGTGCATGCCAATGTATACACAAGATCTCGATTTTTTGTCCCATGCGAATGGCTAGACAGCTATCCTTGTCAGGCCCTCCGTCCTGCACCAATGACAAGTCGAAACCATGTCGGAAAATCCTGATGAACTTTCTTGGCCAATGAAGGGATCGAACATGCGACATCCAGGCTAGCGAGCTGGTATCTTACCCACCTAGCCACCATGGCTCCCGCGTATATTAAGTTGGAAGAAATAATGTCACACTATACACAATGTTAGGGAGAACTATAACAAGGGTTAAATTTTACTCAAATTTTATTGTCGTGTCAAAAGACATTTCTAATATACATAATAGGTCTATATATACAAATATCTTTGAATAGAAGCACCATATAGGGTTTTTTTTTTATTTGGTCTTTACAATCCAGTCATATGAGGATTGTATTGTCTTTACTATCCAGTCATATGGGGATTGTATTGTCTTGACTATCTAGTCATAAGGGGATTGCATTGTCTTTACTATCCAGTCATGGGGATTCTATTGTCTTTACCATCCAGTCATATGGCGATTCTATTGTCTTTACCATCCAGTCATATGGTGATTCTATTGTCTTTACCATCCAGGCATATGGCGATTCTATTGTCTTTACTATCCAGTCATATATGGATTGAACTGTACAAGTGAACATGGACAGATTAGTATAATAATTATTATATATGATTATATATTTCAACAAATACAAGATCAGACATACTTGAGATAAAACTTTATAAATATATCATCTCAATAATTGCATAATTATAATATTATTGCATAGAATAAAGTACTATTTGACATAATTATAATATTATTGCATAGAATAAAGTACTATTTGACATAATTATAATATTACTGCATAGAATAAAGTAATAAAGTACTATTTGACATAGTTATAATATTATTGCACAGTATATAATAAAATAGCTTCTTTACAAAAATCTTTTATATCTGATAAAAAGTAAATAAAACCCAACTGGTTTAAAAAATTGAATCTTCTCCTTGAGTCATAAACTAAAGAAATAAATTATGTGTAAATATTAAAATTGGTTTATCAAAAATTTCATCAAAAATTTAAAATATAACATATACAGATCTATTTAACATTAGATTGGAGAAATCATTTCCCCAACCATAATCTCTTGTAATATTCCTTCCTCAACCCCTTGTAATATTCCTTCCTCAACCCTAATCTCTTGTAATATTTAATAGAAGCTCCAGTTTGGGTCAATATGTAAAACAGCTGTTTAAGAACAGGAGAACTGTATCACATATAAAAAAACAGAAATGCTGAAGACAAACTCGCAGACCAACACAGACATTGTCAATGACAGATACAGATTTCCCTATCAATCAAAACAAACTCACAATTCACAAACACAAAACATGAACAACAGGTGGTATTACATTTCTATTTTTTCTCCAAATTAAAATTCATTTTTGTGTTTCATCTTCGATATCTTCCTCTTCTTCTTCTCCAAAAACGTCTGTTTCTAAATCACCGAGAATATGAGCAGACGCAATCTCACCGTGACCTTTACCACGACCTTGAGATCTGGTTTTACGTAGAGCACGTTTACCAGCTGGAACTTTCAACGCATGACCGCCATCTTGTTCTGAACCAGAACTTGATTCTCCCACATGACCACTAGCAGCCTCTTTGACTGAACAGCGGTCAGGAGCCAGGCGCAACTTCCGCAAATTAGGACTGTTTTTACTGGATTTCAACTCGGCAAGACTTCCGCGCATAAAACTAGGTTTAGGTGGAATGGCTGGTTTAATTTTTGGCAATGGTTTTGCCGAGATGGAGGAGCTGTGTGACGGTGAGTTAGTTTTTGAAGAAGCGGTTTTGAGAGGTGGTTTGTCTGATTCTTTTCTTTTAATACCAGGTGCAGACGGAGTATTTTTTGTGAGACTGCCAGTATTTGACGACTGTCCTGAAGATGAGTCTGTTCTAGCATGAGCCTTGTCGCTCTCAGATGATTGCGGAGAAACGTTGTCGGACGATGATGAACGTTTCGTATTTTTCGCTTCCAGTAAAGCCGTCTTGATGCAGCCTTTAAGCTGTATTATAGGTCGTTGTTTTGAATGAGTTTGTTGTTTGTTGCCACGGTTATCGTGTGTAGAGTCGGGACTTGATGAACTAGACTCTGGTAAAGATTCTTGTAATTTAAGCAAGTTTTCCAATCCAGTTATGCCCCCTGCTAACCACGTTGTATCTTGTTGATTGTTGGACTCACCTGCTGGAAAATACAAACACATAAACATATATCTACAAGAATAAGAGAGAGAAATGGGGTTTAATGTCCACTCGACACAAACTAGGTCATTTCGAGACTAACATATGGTTCAATTTTATTTCAATAATTCGCTTGCGCGTAGCGGTCTTTAGCAGTGGGAGGAAACTGGAGGACCTGGAGAAAACCCACAAGGTTGGACAGGCAACCCTGATCCTTGTCATGTACAACCGAGGAATCGAAATCACGCCAGTTGACTCAATGACAGACCTTATGATACAGCGTGCTAACCATTCACCCACCCAACCCCCTACACGAATAAGACATGAGAGAGTTTAACATCTACTTTGACAGGTTCGGTAGATCTCTGCGTAAAGTTTGATTTCTTGAGGATCTATATAGATACTGTAAGGATCAGGGGGGAAAATAGAACATCTCGATGTTTTGTTCTAATTTTATAATTCACTGTTTAGTTGATTCAGTCATAATAAATTCATAGTTTAAACCATCAGTTGAATTTGGTCATAATAAATTCATAGTTTAAACTCTCAATAATCATTTTATTTATTTAAATTTAACAAAAATAAATATTCGCCATATATGCCTGACTGTTCGATTGATGTTCTACAATGAACATGAAGTTCCACGAAATCAATACAATTTGAACTGACTTTTAGCCCCGAATTGATCCTGCACGAGGGCGTTAGCCCAAGTATTGTTTTAATATATTACATTATGTCTTGCTTGGGACTATTAAACAACTTAAAACATAGACACTATATTTCAATGAAATATGTCACATGACTCCAATATTTCAACTAGTATAAATAATGCCCGTACATTATTTGAAATAATGGTACGCCAATATCTCACAGTACTTATTGTGTCTTTATTTATAATTTTGTAAATAATTTGACTTACTAGATAGGGTGTTTGATTGTTCTGTATTATGACCAGAGTTATCTGTTGTTGTCAATAACAACGGCCCGTCTGTTAAATCGTTTGATTCCTGACGTTGAAGTTGTAACTGTCGAAATATTTCCAGCTCGAGATGAGATCGAAGTTGTTTTTCTTTCTCTTGTGATAGAACATCAGCACCAACGCTGTCTAATTTTAGTAATTGAGCCAGGTAAGGTTCGTTGGCACAGAGTTTGTCCTCTATACGTTGTACTCGATGTTCTAAACGATCTCCTTCAACTAACATATGATCATGCTGCAAAAAAAATATTACCAATTAAATATCTCAGAGAGAGAGAGAGAGAAATGGGGTTTAACGCCCACTTGCGCGTAGGGGTCTTTCGCAGTGGGAGGAAACCAGAGGGCCTGGAGAAAACCCATTAGGTTGGACAAACGACCCTTGTCCATTGAGAGATAGGGCTTGATGCAAACTAGGTCATTTCGTGACTAATATATGGTTCAGTTATATTACAATAATTTATAACTTGCGCATTTGGGCCTTTAGCAGTGGGAGGAAACTGGAGAAAACCTAGTGTTCGACAGGTGATCCTCCCATGCAAAGCACTTTTCTTTCCTTATTGTAAATTACGGCAGATTGGTTGCAGTAATTATGCTGGTACGCACCTTTGTGACATTAGGTTATTTTTTGATAATACTGGGTTATATATTGACAGGACCAGGAGAAAACCCACGATGTTGGACAGGCAACAGGAATACAACATTTTTTCTTCTGATTAATTTTTATAACCACAAAGAGTCGAACATGTTGCAAGCAGTTGTTAGTAACATTGAAAGGTGTTGACCATCTGATACCAATATTAAAGAGGGTATCTACTGCAGGTTAAAGGCATCTATAGGTTGAGATGTTCGTAAGTTATCTCCTCAATCTTCCACCTCATGAATATTAAACAAAACCGGACAGGAAAAAGGAAGAATGAAAGAACTGCTATTAACCCTTTTGATTCCGACCCCCTGAACGATATTAGCCTCCCAGGTAAAAATGGAGCAAAATTTTTTCATATAATACATTTATTGTGAACCCTTACGACCCGAAAGGCCGAAAAACCAGCTAGAATACCGAGGCTAGAATACCTAGCAGGCGGTATACTGGCCGCCACGGTACTCCATCCAAGGGGCATCTGCGGTGGATCTTTCAGCCCCAAAGGGTTAATTAACGAACTATATTCGAGTATCATGAAATTAGGAGAAGACTGAATTACCTCAGAGCCACCGGTAGATATCCCATCATCCCCGACGATATGTTGGGTTGCATCAGAATCAGTGAAATATGTTCTGGGTTTATCGGGTAAAGCGCTGGAACCAGACAGGGCATTCATCCTAAATAACAACTCATCTACCTGGTACTCTATCTCAGCCATTATAAACTCCTGAAAATATATATTATAATTATATTATCCATTAAATTATACAATATAATCCATAAAATTATACAATATTATCCATTAAATATACAATATTATTATATAATCCATTAAAATATACAATATTATTGTATAATCCATCAAATATACAATATAATTATATTATGCATTAGATGTACAATATAATTATATTATCCGTTTGATATACAATATATTTATATATTGTCCATTAGATCCATTAGATATACAATATAATAATGTTATCCATTAAATCATACAATATAATAATATCATCAATTAAAATTGTGGTCATTTGTTTATTTGGATTTTCTATTTAAAATCTTCTGGTTGGGGTTGAACACCACTTTTAAAATCTCTTGGTTGGAATCAAACGTCACTTTTAAAATCCCCTAGTCAGAGTCAAATACAACTTTGAGAATCCCCTTGTTGGGGTCGAATGCCACTTTTAATATCGCTGGCTGAGGTCGAACGCCACTTCAAAAATCGCCTGGTTGGGGTCGAACGCCACGTTAAAATCCTATGGTAAAAAAAAGGTTCAGGAAAATTGAACTCTGCGATCTGAAAAATTATTGGTATTCAATTTTTCAAAAATATTTCATCTGGGCTAGGGATTGGGCTGGGAATTGAAGGGGGTGGGGGTCTATAAAAACTGGGATTCTCAAACTGAATACCCTTTGTTTTAGTTTTAATATTCCATTTATAAAAACTTAATCAAATAAAGTGGTAGTTTATAGTAATAACAGAACAGATGAATAAGAGTCAATGTTATATCAAGGGCTCATTTATTGATCACTACTAGGGTGACCTACCATAAATAAATATCTCCATATATCTCGACAATTTCGCCACAATATTTATATATATGCCAAGCCTCAAATCAGTTTCACACAATTATAGTCACTAAATAAACGATCATGTTGTACTTAATAAGCTATGACCATTAATCATCTATAAATAATAGACTGAAAACTGGTTCCATGTGTCGTCCATAACATCCAGACACTTTTGAGTAAAAGATAGGTTACATGCCCTTGTTTTGAAATTAGTCTCGCTTAACCAGTCTATCGACCATTCTAGGGCTGATTGACAGGTCGGGATAATCAAGACTACTTTTTTATGAAACATAACAGAAAGCTAGAACAAGAAATTGAATTTACAAATGAGCACGTTAGCTAGCTCAACAATTGTTTTAAGAAGCTTGTAAAAGTAAAATGAAACTACTGCTAGTATCATGCTCCTGTCTAACCCGAGTGTTTCAGAGATATTATTTGTACTAAACCAAAAGATGCCGCTCTTAACGGTACAGTTAATGATAAAGCGATTTAAAAAATGAAACGAACGTAATTTCTAAATCTGCTGTAATAACCAAGAAGCTTAATTTTACTGCTATTCAAAATCGTCAACAATAAATTTTTTACGGCTGTAATAGTTGATAGATTTGTAGAGAATTGCACGTGCCATGGCTATTTATAGTATCATACTGTCAGAAAGTTGGCCTCGACACGGCGAATGTGCACGCTTCAGTGGTAGTCTCGAACTATCAGCGGTTGACTGTATTTCTGTAGGTGCATGGGTCACCCTATCACTACCTTGTGAAGATACCGCAAGTATTAGAGATAAATTTCTTCTGTGGAGAGTGTTTTAAGTAGAATAATCTTGGAAACAAACGTTTGTTATTAACACTAACATTCGTTTAATTTCAAATCTTTGTTTAAAAATTTGTAAAAAGCATTTAAAATCACCCAAAATGATTTAATTTGACAAAATTGAATGGCCAGCTTTAAACTGGATGCAAGTACAAATTAGATGATTTTTGGTGATTTTAAACGATTTTTACGAATTTTTAAACAAAGATTTGATATTGAATGAATGTGAAAGATATTAGTGCTAGATACACAAGATTAAATGATACCTAGGTTACAGTGTAATACGATAAAACTCACAGCAGGCAAAATATTTTCTGGTTCTTGTTTCTGGTGTGTTTTTCGAATCCCCATGTTGATGAGAAACTTGTCCCACAGAAAACACAGACAATCTGCTACACCCATCTGTAACACTTCCATTGTTTTCTCCGATTTTACTCGGCGACTTAACACAGCTAAAACCTGAAATCACATGGATGCATTTAATGTAAAATCACGTGGATGTAGTATTTAAAATCAAGATTTAATATTTAATAAAAGAAAAAGAGAGAGAGAAATGTGGTTTAACATCCACTCGACGCAAACTAGGTCATTTCGGGACTAACATATGGTTCAATTTTATTTCCATAATTCGTTTGTGCGTAGCGTTCTTTAGTAGAGGAAGGAAACCGGAAGACCAGGAGAAAACCTGCAAGGTTAGACAGGTGACCCTACTCCTTGTGACGTACAACCGGGGAATCAAAACCATGCCAGTTAACTTAATGACAGACCTTATGATACAGTGCGCATGTGCTAACCATTCGGCCATCCATCCCTTGAAAGGACATAGAAAGGCCACCAAAAAGTGCAGCAGACAGCTATAACTAACTGAAGAATAACAGAAGATGAGAAGAGATTTATTCTGCAATCTTTAAAGTTTACTTACGTAGGCGGAGAGAAGTCCTGTCGCAAATACTAGATATGTAAACATAAATAAATTAGTCCATTCTGATTGGTTTATATCTGATTCTGGATATACGCCAGTCAACGCCATCACCATGGTGAATATACCAGACCACACACCCATTAAACCTTCACATGCTGTACCAAATAACGCAACACCAGCACTACTATACGCCATTACCATAACACCAAACAATAGCTGTAAAATAAACAACCAGTCATCCGGGATTGTACAAATTTCTATACAAGAGCAAATGAATTCCTGAGTGAATTAATCCAAATATCTCTAAATAAAAACCAACTTGTATCTGCTTTCAGCAGCTAAAAGAGGCATCAATTTGAATATGGTGTAATCTTATAAATACCTCAACCCGTTGAAACAAACATGCAGCGAAGTTCTAATCAAACAGACGGGATGGTAAGAGGTGATACCATCCTATCTCTGTTCTACCATCTCTCAATGTTTGTATCAACAGGTGATATAACTACCATCTCTCAGGTGATATAACTACCATCTCTCAGGTGATATAACTACCATCTCTCAATTATTGAAGCACATTACACTCTATCAGATTTTACGATATATAAAAAATATTTTCCACTTACTGTGAATAAAAGTAATTCTCTCTGTGATCGTTGATAAAAACTAACAGCTTTTAAACACCATGAATTATGATTCAACAATCGAACTGAGTCAACACACAGTAGAAATAAGACAAAACCAATTAAAGCTTGGAGGTACTAGAATAACAAATATATGAAGATATGACATGAAAATTCATTTTGGTTAATAATTTATTAATGTGACATCTCATAGTTATACAACAGTCTATCATGTGACATCTCATAGTTATACAACAGTCTATCATGTGACATCTCATAGTTATACTAGTCTATCATGGACATCTGATGATTACACTACAGTCCATCATGTGACATCTCATAGTTATACTACAGTCTATCATGTGACATCTCATGGTTATACTACAGTCTATCATGTGACATCCCATAGTTATACTAGTCTATCACGTGACATCCCATGGTTATACAACAGTCTATCATGTGACATCTCATAGTTATACTAGTCTATCATGGACATCTGATGATTACACTACAGTCCATCATGTGACATCTCATAGTTATACTACAGTCTATCATGTGACATCTCGTGGTTATACTACAGTCTATCATGTGACATCCCATAGTTATACTACAGTCTATCATGTCACATCCCATGGTTATACTACAGTCTATCATGTGACATCTCATGGTTATACTACAGTCTATCATGTCACATCCCATGGTTATACTACAGTCTATCATGTGACATCCCATAATTATACTACAGTCTATTATGTGACATCCCATGGTTATACTACAGTCTATCATGTGACATCCCATAGTTATACTAGTCTATCATGGACATCTGATGATTACACTACGGTCCATCATGTGACATCTCATGGTTACACTACAGTCTATCCTATGCATTTACTACCCGATTCCACCCAAGCTTGTGTCATATACAAAAACTACCCAATTCCACCCAAGCATGTGTCATATATATGACTTAATCCATTCCACCCAACTATGTGTTATATACATGTCTTACCCCATTCCACCCAACTATGTGTTATATACATGACTTATCCCATTCCACCCCACCCAACCATGTGTGATATACATGTCACATGACTTACCTGATTCCACCCAACCCTATGTCATATACACAACTTACCTCATTCCAGCAGCAAATAAATGATATGTTGATAAATTGTTGATAGTATGTACTACGGAAATATTCCACCACCTCTGATACCAGTATATATCTATATATATAACATCCTATATATACCATAGATACTATACACATCAATAACTGGAAACACAAAAATAAACAGACTTGAACGTCCAGACAACCTATAACTAAATCAATTCCTGACTAAGATACAAAATATTTTTATTTAAAGATACATCAAACAGGAAGTAAAGAAATGATGGAACGCTGTGATCGGTTAGCCGAAATGTTGATGTTTGTCGAAATGGGTCATTAATGGTAAAATTGTAAATGAAATGAAATGAAATGGGGTTTAACGTCCTACTGTTCTGCTCCTATACACCCGACCTCCAGCCTAGCGATCCAGCGTCTTAGCCACGTGATCCCCCTGGTAATATAGTAGGAGTTGACAAGAGTTCATTATATTGCTTGCACATAGTTATCTGTTATTTTAACAAGATATAGATTGTATTAATATCTGTTGATTTCACAGTGATTTGTTTCTGTCTGAAACCATGGTGTCCAAGAGAGGAAGATAACACTTTTCAATCTTTTATTGGTCTTCTATGATTATGTGATTGTCACCCTCTCCCACCCTCACCATGTTATCTCGTGTGTATTAAATAAAGGATTTTAATCACCTCAATCATATTCCAAAAACTGGTAAAATATTTCTTCTTTTCCTTCACCATGGCAACCAGTTGACATTTGACCTTGTGTAGTGAAATGACAATAAATAATAACTGAAACACAGAAAAAAAAAATCAAAATATTAATTTATAGCAACAAAGACTTATATTATAAACAGACAGACTTACATTACAGTGTACATCAAAGTCAGTATAACTTTTTTTGATCTAAGACTAGATTAGACTAGACTCATTAACTGAAGCCCCTGGGTTAGATTTTTATTCTGTATTATCTAGAGAGAAATGGGGTTCAACATACTCTCAACACAAGCTAGGAGATTTCAGGACTAACATGGTTCAATTTCATTTCAAGAATTAATTCATTGTCTGTAGGGGTGTTTAGCTGTGGGAGGAAACAATAGGGCCGAAAGAAGTCCCACTCCTGGTCACATACATGTGTGGGCTTGAAACCACGCCACTAAGATAAGATAAGCCACTTGACTCAATGACAGAAATGAAATGAATGAAATGGGGTTTAACGTCCGACTGTTCTGCTCCTATACTGGGCTAATGAAAACGGGCATACGCCATACAGTGTGCTATGAGGGAAATTTTGCCCGGGCAGCGGCTTTATCGCCTACTCTTATATCGAATTCCAACTGCCAAGGGATCTTTTTATGTGCATGCCAATGTGTACACGGGACCTCGGTTTTTCGTACCATCCGAACGACTAGACAGCTGTCCTTGTCAGGCCCTTCATCCTGCATCACTGACAAGGGGAAACCACGTCGGAAAATCTGGATGAACTTTCTCGGCCAATGCAGGGATCGAACACCCGACCTCCAGATTAGCGAGCCAGCGTCTTTACCACCTAGCCACCGTGGCTCCCTCATTGACAGACCTTATAATCTAAAATGCATGTGTAAGTCCATTAGACCCCCCCCCCCCCAACCCCACAAATATACATGTTGTTAGTACGGACAAACATCCTATCACTTTTATAGTATGATAAATATAAATTACCTCGAAGGCAAGAATAAATTTATCCATGGTGGACACGTAACGGAAGAGATATGTTGACGATATAAAGGGTCGAGTAAAAACTCCGCCAGATTCTGGTAACTCAACCAATAAACTCACACACCTATCAAACAAATCAAATAAATGTTAAATCAAATCATATTAACATTAAATCAAATCGTATTAACGCTAAATCAAATCGTATCAACGCTAAATCAAATCGTATTAATACTGATTATATCAAACTAACAGTAAAACATGATAAAGAAATCGGAGCCGTGGTGGCTAAGTGGGCAAGACACTGACTCGCTAGCCTGGAGGTCGTTTGTTTGATTCCTGCATTGGCCAAGAAAGTTTGAGATTTTCCAACGCGGTTTCCCCTTGTCAGCGGTGCAGAACAGAGGGCCGGACAAAGACAGCTGTCTAGTTGTTCAGATGAGATGAAAAACTGAGGACCTGTGTACACATTGGCATGTACCTCAAAGATCCCTTGGCAGTTGGAATTCGATATAAGAGTAGACCGTAGTGGCGCTGCCCGGGAAAAATTTCCTCATAGCACACTGTATGACGTATGCCCGTCTTCATTAGCCCAGTAGGAACAGAACAGTAGGACGTTAAACCCCATTTTATTTCATTTTGAGAAAGAAATGCCAAAAATAAATCAACTGAAATGCTCATCCAAGATCTTAATATGGCATGTAATAAACATTGAGAGTATATATCAAACGAAACGATGTACTGGATTCTATTCAATTTGTAGAAATGAGGCTATTCATAAAGGCTCACAACAAAGAAAGCAAGATTTCTGCTTAAACTAAATTTTATATTTTTAATCTGGATGATGAAAAATTACATACGTGAATAAATTATCAGGAATATAATAAATGGTGAATTCTATAACCACAGCTCGAGTCTGGCGATCAATCCATTTCAATATTTCTAACTCTTTTATCTGTTCAGAGGCTATATTCCTGTCAACAAAAACATAAAACATTAATCAAAAAATCTACATAATAATTCAATTGCCCGTAGTTATAGTGAGTCAAAAAGTTATTTGGATTATTTCTTATATCAGATTTTTTAAAGGCTTATAGAAGACAATGCCATATGAGCCGTGAAGCAATGTATGCTCTTATTGAAACATCCAATGTCACTTCTTATTGGTCTGGGAAGATCATTTATAGAACTGAGCTGAACAATCCCCCTTTTTATCATTTTAAAATGACTTATTGTCCTACCTTGAATCATTCAGTTCTGTAACGAATCCAGAGTTGTCATAGAAACCATATTTTCCCCATAATGAGGCACCACCTTGTGCCGGTTGCCAGGTCCAGATGTCATTTGGTCCGAAGGTTTTTGACGATTTATGTTGCTGCGTGTAGGAATAACGACATTCATAAACTCCAGGCATGATGCGTAACGGAATCGCAAACTCACTCAAACACGGCTCCTGTCGAACACGTAACTGCCGTAAGTTAGCTGAACCAATCAGATAACTGTTCCGTAACCCATAACTACCCTCAGGTTTGGTTGTCGATGTCTTGATGTCGTAAAGATTATCCAGTAGAGAAGATTGACACCAGGAATAGAATTCTGGGATTGTTTTAATAGAATGAAATGATTGATTACCATTCCTGGAAGAAAAAAAATTGAAAATATTAAATATTTGGCTTGCAAGCAAAGATTTTAGCTGTGGAATGAATGAAATGAAATGAAATAGGGTTTAACGTCCTACTGTTCTGCTCCAACTGGGCTATAAAGGTGGGGCATACGCCATGCAGTGTGCTATGAGGGAAATTTTCGCCAAGACAGCTGCACTACGGCCTACTGGCCAGAGTTCATTTACATGCACGGTAACATGTACATGGGATAAGATGCTGTCAGGCCCTTCGTCACGCACCACTGACAAGGTGGAAACATTCTGAGGAATGTTCTTGACAGGGCTTGAAACCGAGATCCTGTTAGCGAGCCCGTGCCGTAGTCACCATGCTGATCACCTGTGAATATATACAAGATACAAGTCAACTTACTGTAAGAATATTTTATGTAGAGCTGTATTCAGATTATAAATAGCTGACGAGTCTTTACCATATGCCATGAAACCCACACAAAAAACCAGTAACAGCTGTACCATACAATTTCTAAATAAAGAACACGCCAGTTTCTCTTTAATACGTTTCTTCCGTGCTTCTATCAACGTTTTTTCTTGTGGTGGGCGGGCAAATCGTAAATATCGTGATCTCTGTCTTGCTGCTACACCCTAAAAAAGATGAAATAAGATATAATAAGAGAGAGAAATGGGGTTTAACGTCCACTTGACACAAATTAGGTCATTTCGGGACTAACATATGGTTCAATTTTATTTCAAAAATCTGCTTGCTCGTAGGGGTCTTTAGCCGTGGGAGGCGATCAGAGGATGCGGAGAAAACCCACGAGGGATGGACAGGCATCAATACTCTTTGTCACATGCAACCGTGATCGAAACCACGCCAGTTGACTCATTGACAGACCTTATGATACAACATACCCGCGTTAACCATTCGGCTATCCAACCCCCCAAGATATAATAATCAACAACAAAATAACATTGACCCTGAAAACTTACAATGGATTTTATTTAGTAACTTATTTCACCAAGTCGCTTCGTTTAATTTTGTTAATAACTTCTTACAAAAGAGAGAGAGAAATGGGGTTTAACGTCCACTCGACACAAACTAGGTCATTTCGGGACTAACATATGGTTTAATTTTATTTCAATAATTCGCTTGCGCGTAGGGTCTTTAGCAGTGGGAGGAAACCTGAGGACCCGGAGAAAACCCACGAGGTTGGACAGGCGACCCTAATCCTTGTCACGTACAACCGGGGATTCGAAACTACGCCAGTCGACTCAATGACAGACTTTATGATACAGCGCGCGCACGCTAACCATTCAGCCATCCAACCCCCCCTTCTTACAAAAAGCCTGTTCCCTAATCCCATTCACATATCCTGTACAAAATATTTTTCATAAGCAAACCCCCAAAAAACTTACCCTTTCAAATTCTTCACTTGGTGATTCGTTCTTTTTCTCCTCCATCTTCTTCTTGCCATCATACCTCACTCCATAGTAACCATCGTCATGGTGATTCAAGATGGATGGATCGTTTCTGTATGTAATGGCTGTATATATAACTATAATGAGGATCATCAAGGGTTGAGTTATAAATACACAGATCATGAAACTAAAATATAAGGACTGTAACCACATGATACTCTTGCTGTAACCAAACCTGAAAATACATACATCAAATTAATGGCACGTCATCACCAACCGGGCTCATGAAATGGGGTTTAACATCCTACTTTTCACCTAGAAATTAAATTAATGGCACAAGCTCACCAACCGGGCTCATGCATAGCAAGCAAATTAAATGAAATGGGGTTTAACATACTACTTTTCAATAAGAAATTAAATTAATGGCACAACCTCACCAACCGGGCTCATGAATAGCTATCAAATTAAATGAAATGGGGTTTAATGTCCTACTTTTGAACTAGAAATTAAATTAATGGCACAACCTCACCAACCGGGCTATGAATAGCAATCAAATTAAATGAAATGAAATTAAATGTTTAACGTCCTACTTTTCTACTAGAAATTAAATTAGGTTTAAATGCTGGAACGACTAGAGGCTGTTCCTTGCCAGGCCCGTCCTGCACCACTGAATCAAAGCTGGAAAATCCTAGGGAATTATCTCGTCTATCATTAGAACGAAACCCTGAATCTTCCGATAAGTGAGTTCCCCCATTACTTGACAATAAATACATGTATCAGGGAGTTCCCCCTATCTATAAATACATGTATCAGGGAGTTCCCCCATTTCGCATCTATAAATAGAATAGACCTTACCTGAAACCATACAAGATGGTGACAACAGTACAAGTTGTTATAATCATGATACATAGACTCCATGCTACATATCGACACCAGAACGGTAAAAATAATCGCCATCCTCGACCATTATCAACATATTCTACAAATATACACCATTAAATTCTATAAATATACACACCATTATATTCTACACACCATTATATTCTACCCAACATATACACCATTATATTCTATTAACTACACACCATATAATATACGCACCACATAAACTACACACCATATAAAATACACACCCTTATATTCTACCCTACATATACACCATTATATTCTACCCAACATATACACCATATAAAAGAGAGAGAGAGAGATAGAGACAGAGACAGAAAGAGGGTTTAACATCCATTCGACACAAACTAGGTCATTTCGGGACTGACATATGTTTCTTTTTCATTTCAATAATTCACCTGCGTGTATGGGTCTTTAACCGTGGCAGGAAACCGGAGGACCTGGAGAAAACCCACAAGGTTGGACAGGCAACCCTACTCCTTGACAAGTACAAGCCGGGAATTGTAACCACGCCAGTTGACTCAAATGACAGATCTTATGATAATCATGCCAGTAATTCAAGAGTTTATGTTAAGCTCAGTTATGACCTGTACATAATTATTATAATGCCATCTACCTGTGTTTGACTGTCGACTACTGGAACTGGTTTCAGACACAAGTTTTATTCTGGTGCGCTCAGCAGTGGCCTGTGATTGGCTGGTAGCATCCACAAATCCACTTGAGGCCTGATCTGTCTCGTAGCCCCGTCGAACATTCTGTAAGACTGGAACGTGAAGTACTGGAAGATCGTGATTGGTTGACAGGTTTCTACCATTAACGGTGTTGGAGGTCGGTAGATAGCGAGGACCGTACAGGGGACCCTGGGAAAAATTCCACGAATTTGGTGGAAGATGTCGCGGACTGGGAGGTGATGATTGCGGACTAGAGCTCAACAAGGTGGAACCAAGGATGTTAGGTGGATTATGGGTAGTTATACCGCTAGTTTGATGACTGATGGGAGAATCTAATGGGCTGATTGGACCGTTGATTGTTGTCGAGGTTAATTCCGTTGTCGGAGAATTTGGATCTCTCTCCGATTCCCCCGTCTGTGATCTTAGCTGTGGGTTGGGCCGCGATTTCACGCTGTCTGCATTAGAACGTAACGATTGCTGCCGCTTCAACCACTGTTTCTGGGCCCAATCTTGTATACCCTGCCAGTTTAAAATAGACTGATCCAAGATGGAGTAGGTCATAACAGGTTGGACAGATTCTTCGTCAGTTTCTGAAATTTGTTCACCATATTGTTTGCCACTTGGATAAACTTTATCTGGTTCTGGACCTGGATAACTTATCTGAAATAAATAATACCAATTATTGAAATAAGTTTTATAGTTCAAAATTTTGTTTTACTTGTCTTTACTACTCTAGGATCTGGAAGAGTTGTTATATAACATGTGTTCTAGTTCATATGAGGAATTAGCCAATGAAACAGTCCGTTGCGGTGAGTTCTTGGATTAATCAATGTCTGATGTCAGAGTATCAAAAGCCACTCATATGATCCCTGACACGATGTCCCAGTACAATTGGTCAGATCTTCATGTAGTGTTAGCCATCGAAAGTATAAAAAAAACGAAACGAAATATAGATCTGTATTTTAATCAGATTGTTCATAATAGATAAGTTCTGTAAAATCACGTTTTTAATCATTATCAGAATTAAAATCTATTCTTTGGCCAGTTTGTTAACATTCTATTATACTTTTTTTAAACAACTGAAATAAATTATTCTCATACCTTGCTGCGTCTGAATAGGAAGGCTATAAATAGATTGAGTGGTAGAATGATACAACAGCAGACGACACCCACGGTAATATTACGCAACGACAGATCTAACAAACGGAACTCTCCACGATACTGAAACAAAAATAATAATACATAAGAATTAAAATACTTTAAAGCACAAAGACCATTTTTATGTAAGACAACATCAGCGATTGTATTCCATATAAATCGTGCGTTTTTACAATGCATGTCTCCTATAAAATGTTGAAAATACCAAAAGAGTATTTCATGGTGCTAGTAATGATAATATATTTGAATAAATATAGTTATCAATAAAATTGAGTCCCATAACAGAAACAGGAAGAGCACAAATATAATTCTCCCGTCAAAAGGCAACACCTAGTAACTCACGTTTTTCTTATTTTGAGAAAGCAAAGGAAAACGTAATGAATGAATATTAAACCCCAGCTTATCCATTGATTTGACTATTGAGTTACTAGGTTTTTCTGTGGCATACCAGGCAAATGAAGGAAGTTGCTAGGTTGTGTCATGGGTGTAACTGCTTACAAAATCAAAAGATTGGAACATCTAGTACAACAACAGGAAGCACATACCCTAGTAACTACAAATTTGGTCCTAACTCAATTTTGATAAAAAAAAAAAAGTGAGTTACTAGGTTTTGACTTTTGACAGGAGAATTACTCTGTACAAATAACATAGACAGGAAGAGAGAAATGGGTGTTAGGCAGTTTATTCTTCCGTTTAGTGGACAATGTCTTTAATGTGGATTAAGAAAGCAAGAAGAGATGTAATTGGTTAATTCCGTTAGTGGTTTAAGAAAGCAAGAAGCGATATAAGTAGTAAAGTAGGGCACTTGGAGGGGTATTTCCGGTAGGGTTATCTTCCCCTGTTTTGTTTACCTTAGCAACGTCAGAAGAGTTATCCCCCTTTTATTATGGGCGTGGTTGTTGACCCTAGTTACGATAGAATCACGTGACAACGACGTAATATGAACACCATGTCCGTTTAAATTTGAATTGTTGGGTGTGTTTGTGTTTGTAATGTTGTCCGCCTTTTTTTTAAAAAGAGTGGGGTTAACGGTTAATTGTAGTGATGATGGAAACCCGTGGCAACTAGGTAATATGAAGTTGTGAGTTTAAATTTGAATTGTGGATATGGGGGGGGGGGGGGTCACCGTAATGAGCGTGCGAAGTTCACCTCGAACCCGCGCACCGTCCGCCCAGTCCAGCCCGCGCATGTCCCGCCCACCTGCATACGCCCAGCCCACACCCTTTTATACGGTTAAGCTACCCCACCCACCTCCAACCAACAGACTCCTCCATCCAGCACCCAGACATTCCACCCTACCCTCCCTACAGTACTCATACATCCTAGAATTGATACATGCCTGCATGGCCTGCAATAGTCACACAGCCTCCGTCCAAAACCCGTTTTCTTTGCTTCTTTGAGATAAAAAAGAAAATTGTTTTTATGCGATTTATTTATTCTTTGATCAATAGGAATATAGCTTGGATTGAAGAAGGTACAATAATCACCCCATGTTTTTTTTTATTATTTTGTCAATAATTACCATTAGCCTGTTAAAAAGACTCGCTTTTTTTCCCTGTTGATCAAAGAAGTATGATTCTAAAAACATTAACAAAACACTTGTTTTAATAGTTCCAATCTATTTTAATTCTATAAGTCTCTAGCTCCTCTATTATATGGTTATATATATAGCAGCTATCTGTGGTAAACTGCATCCGGATTTGAACATATTTGATATATGCCATGAGGCTAGAAAGAAAAAAAAATATAAAAAATTAAATTTATCGTTATTTCCTCCTATAACATATACACGACCAATGTTACTCCTAACTAAAAAACAGAGTACATTCCACAACCTGCAATGTGTCGCTTGTAAGTGTCCAAATTTGTAACGGATGTGAGTACTGTTTCAAACGGAAATAAATAATTTATTAAAGTAACATAAATACGACCCACTCATTTCCCCAAACCTTTAGCGTGATTGATGCCATATGTGTTTTGTAAGCTTCCAACTTGAGGAGACACGTGCGTACTTTTCAATGGAAATAACGTTTTATTAAAGTATTATAAATGCATCACCACCCATTAACCAAACCAAGATAGATAGATACCATATGTGGTCACTGTGAGCTTCTGACATGTAAAGAGACGCTCGTATTTTTTCATCGGTCACAAATAATTTAATAAGTTACCAGATACCGCCCCCCCCCCCCCACACACACACACCACACTTCCACACCGCTGATGTGATATATTGATACATTAGTGACCTTTATCTGACGGTAGTATGTTTCAAATGTAAACAAATGAAATGAAATGGTGTTAATGGTACACCGGTTCCCCTACAATGCTTCTAATAAAGCGACCCGGCGACATACGGTACTATAGGGTAATTTCGCCTTGGTTGGCCTCTCTAAGACTTACACTTGTATAGACTTTCAAAACGTACACACATGATCCAGTTCAGCAGAAATAAAAAAAAGTTGATTGATTTAGTATAAATTAAGTGTAATGACTCCCCCCCCACCCTTCACCCTACTTTTTAAAAACATCCCAAGCATCTCCACAGCGTAATATGATGTTTAGTTGTGAAAAAATCACTGTTCTATATAAAAAAAAGAACATACCTATTCGAGACAGATGGGTCGGCGTTTAGAGTCGCAAAATAGAAGTGAATTAGCTCTAGGTTCTCTCAAAATGTTGGTAATAGCTATTACTTTTTGGGTTTTTATCATTATGTAAACCAAAACAAAAATCGAAACAACTCACCTTTTCTTTTCTTCGTCTCTAGTTGGGGGTGGTAACTGCATTTCAGGCCCAAACCCCTTTAATAATCTATCCACCTCGTCACGGATTACAAGAATTTTGTGTGCCGTCTCTGCACTTAAGGCCGTTGGCGCGCACAGCATCAAAGATGCCGTGGCGTATAGATATTCCCGAACCTTTTCAATATTCCTAAGAAAAAAAACGAATGACAAAAATATAATAAGATAATAACCGATGTGTTTAAAAAAAAAAGTTTTTTTAAAGTTTGAAAACTTCCTAGTTAAATAAAAAAAACTTACATTTTTTACTTGTTGTTTTCTTTAGCGTTCCTTTCTGTCCTTCCTTTCTTTCCTTGAGTGCTGAGGTAGAAGAGTCGGTTGTCGCCATTCTTATACCGGTTAGCGGTGGGGGGGGGGTGACCGTTTAATAATCGACAGATGGTTGGGTTGGGGTTGGGTTTCTTTTTGCTGACTCTGTTTTATTTCCAAACTTAAAGAGAATTGTCTGCGATGGGCTGCCAATATAATAACTATTATTTTTTTTGTTTTTGTTTTTTTAAAAAAAGAGAAGAAAATGAGTAGTAAATTGTATTACAAATGCACTGTTAAATTCTATTAACAGATTATACATTTAAAAAACAGAAAGAGAAAGACGCGTATGTGTGGGTGTGTGTGTGTGTGTGTGTGTGTGTTTGGGGTGGGGGGGGTAATTATCATGTACAGAGAATCGAAATCATGCCACTTGACTCAATGACGGACCTTGTGATTAAACGTCCAAATATTTCAACTGGTAGACACCATACACCAATCTCTTTAAAACAAATACGGGAGGTAAAATCACATCTGTTAAATAACCTTGTATTTAAAACATATATCCAGATGTAATCACATGATTTTATATTCAATACTACGGGTTTCTATATATGTGTTGGAACGTTCGCTGATCTCAACTTTATATATATACCTAAAACAATACAAAATGAACTGCGAAACGCCTAGTGTTAATTGATTTAATGATTCATAACAATAGTCGCACCCCGTGGTCCCTGTCACACATACACAAACAAAGGTCAGATTCAAACACCCATTGTTGTATATGATATCAGAGACACGTTGTGTAAGTGTGTAAAACACGTACTCACTAGCCCGAAGGTCGCGTGTTCGAGATCCATGCATTGACCGAGAAAGTTCATCGTGTTTTTCTGACCCCCCCCCACTCCCTCAGCTGTCTAATCGTTCGGATGGATATGAAATGCAGTGAAATGAAATGAAATGGGGTTTAACGTCCTACTGTTCTGCTCCTATTCTGGGGTAATGAAGACGGGGATACGCCGTACAGTGTGGTATAAGGGAAATTTTCCCCAGGCAGCGGCCCTATCCCCTACACTTATATCGAATTCCAACTGCCAAGGGATCTTTTACGTGCCTGTCAATGTATACATGGGACCTGTTTTTCGTATCATCCGAAGGACTAGACAGTAGCCTTGCCAGGCCCTCCGTCCAGCAACACTGACAAGGGTGGGGGGGGAATCGGGATGAACTTTGTCGGCCAGTACATGGATCGAACACACGACTTCAAGAATCGTTCGGATGGATATGAAATGCAGTGAAACGAAATGAAATGGGGTTTAACGTCCTACTGTTCTGCTCCTATTCTGGGGTAATGAAGACGGGCATACGCCATACAGTGTGGTATAAGGGGAATTTTCCCCAGGCAGCGGCCCTATCCCCTACACTTATATCAAATTCCAACTGCCAAGGGATCTTTTACGTGCCTGTTAATGTATACATGGGACCTCAGTTTTTCGTATCATCCGAGGGACTAGATAGTAGCCTTGCCAGGCCCTCCGTCCAGCAACACTGACAAGGGCGGGGGGGGCTGGAAAATCGAGATGAACTTTGTCGGCCAGTACATGGATCCAACGCACGACCTCAAGTCTAGTAACCCAGCATCTTACGCACTTAACCCCGTGATGCCCCCCCCCCCCCATACACACACACTTCGGTGCCGTGGCGTAATGTGTTGGGTGGAGTAATGAGGAAAAAACATCAGCTGAATAGTTGTATATAATATATTGACCTTACGAGAGATATAGGGAGAGAGAGAGAGAGAGAGAGAGAGAGAGAGAGAGAGTGTTTAACGGCCTACACGGTGACTTCGACTATTGAAGATATGATAGGTGGCCTACCGTGTGTTGTAGTGCAATTGTACCCCGTCATCCACTCTACACGATACTGATCTATTGAAATCCAACTGTCAATGAGGGTCTTCTTTTATGCACCCGCCCATGTGTAAACGTAACCTATGACTTTTATAACCCTCATTCGACTATCTGGGTGATACCCCTTGACAACCGTGAATATGTATTAAAAACTCCCGTGCCGTATATAAATATGGCACTAACTCGGGACCAACTATATGTTCACTTAAAAATGCAAATGAACCTAGAAACGCCTGGTACCGATTGGATATTTGAATCATACCAACTGCCAGTCCCCAGTTTCCCGCCACGTGTAATGAGGTCGTGTTCCATACACGGTTAAGAGAATAGATGTATCAATGAAATAAAACGTAATACCACCACTCCCCAACCCCCACACCCCTCTTCAACTAACGAACAGCTTAATGAATCAGGCTTTTCGAAACCCAATGTTTGACGCACAAAAAATATAAGACATATTTTAAAATACGTCACAAAACGGTGACCACGTCATCTGACCCAGACGTCTAATATGTAAATCGGCTGGGGAATACACAACACCCATTGGTTATTTATCGGGTGGGGAGGGGGGTATATAGCAAGACTTTTAACCGGCGCTTATCATTTTACCAACAGAAGGATAACCTTTATAACAGTATTGGTTATTTTAAACAGGTATGTTCGGATAACCTTTATAACAGTATTGGTTATTTTAAACAGGTATGTTCATTTTCTTTTTTACAAAGATTTTTTGCGTAGCTGTTACATTATGTTTTTTTTTACACCTTACCAATAAATACGTTTTGTTTTGTTTTTTAAAATAAATTTGTAATGCTGTGTCGATAGGCTAATTGTTTTTTTATGGTTTTGTTTTTTAAATTCATTTGTAAGGTCAAGCATATATACTAATTGTTTATGTTTGTTTGTAACAGAATGTCTGAATTTGAAGAATATAGCCAGATACAATGGGATCAGATTCTAGAAATACGAAAAACAGGTCCCATGTATACATTGACAGGCACGTAAAAGATCCCTTGGCAGTTGGAATTCGATATAAGTGTAGGGGATAGGGCCGCTGCCTGGGGAAAATTTCCCTTATACCACACTGTACGGCGTATCCCCGTCTTCATTACCCCAGAATAGGAGCAGAACAGTAGGACGTTAAACCCCATTTCATTTCATTTCACTGCATTTCATATCCATCCGAACGATTAGACAGCTGAGGGAGTGGGGGGGGGTCAGAAAAACACGATGAACTTTCTCGGTCAATGCATGGATCTCGAACACGCGACCTTCGGGCTAGTGAGTACGTGTTTTACACACTTACACAACGTGTCTCTGATATCATATACAACAATGGGTGTTTGAATCTGACCTTTGTTTGTGTATGTGTGACAGGGACCACGGGGTGCGACTATTGTTATGAATCATTAAATCAATTAACACTAGGCGTTTCGCAGTTCATTTTGTATTGTTTTAGGTATATATATAAAGTTGAGGTCAGCGAACGTTCCAACACACATATAGAAACCCGTAGTATTGAATATAAAATCATGTGATTACATCTGGATATATGTTTTAAATACAAGGTTATTTAACAGATGTGATTTTACCTCCCGCTTTTGTTTTAAAGAGATTGGTGTATGGTGTCTACCAGTTGAAATATTTGGACGTTTAATCACAAGGTCCGTCATTGAGTCAAGTGGCATGATTTCGATTCTCTGTACATGATAATTACCCCCCCCACCCCAAACACACGCACACACACACACACCCACACATACGCGTCTTTCTCTTTCTGTTTTTTAAATGTATAATCTGTTAATAGAATTTAACAGTGCATTTGTAATACAATTTACTACTCATTTTCTTCTCTTTTTTTAAAAAAACAAAAACAAAAAAAATAATAGTTATTATATTGGCAGCCCATCGCAGACAATTCTCTTTAAGTTTGGAAATAAAACAGAGTCAGCAAAAAGAAACCCAACCCCAACCCAACCATCTGTCGATTATTAAACGGTCACCCCCCCCCCCACCGCTAACCGGTATAAGAATGGCGACAACCGACTCTTCTACCTCAGCACTCAAGGAAAGAAAGGAAGGACAGAAAGGAACGCTAAAGAAAACAACAAGTAAAAAATGTAAGTTTTTTTTATTTAACTAGGAAGTTTTCAAACTTTAAAAAAACTTTTTTTTTTAAACACATCGGTTATTATCTTATTATATTTTTGTCATTCGTTTTTTTTCTTAGGAATATTGAAAAGGTTCGGGAATATCTATACGCCACGGCATCTTTGATGCTGTGCGCGCCAACGGCCTTAAGTGCAGAGACGGCACACAAAATTCTTGTAATCCGTGAAGAGGCGGATAGATTATTAAAGGGGTTTGGGCCTGAAATGCAGTTACCACCCCCAACTAGAGACGAAGAAAAGGAAAGGTGAGTTGTTTCGATTTTTGTTTTGGTTTACATAATGATAAAAACACAAAAAATAATAGCTATTACCAACATTTTTAGAGAACCTAGAGCTAATTCACTTCTATTTTGCGACCCTAAACGCCGACCCATCTGTCTCGAATAGGTATGTTCTTTTTTTTATATAGAACAGTGATTTTTTCACAACTAAACATCATATTACGCTGTGGAGATGCTTGGGATGTTTTTAAAAAGTAGGGTGAAGGGTGGGGGGGGGAGTCATTACACTTAATTTATACTAAATCAATCAACTTTTTTTTATTTCTGCTGAACTGGATCATGTGTGTACGTTTTGAAAGTCTATACAAGTGTAAGTCTTAGAGAGGCCAACCAAGGCGAAATTACCCT